TGACAGTATAAATGAATGGATGTGGCTGTGTTCCAACAAAATTTCATTTATAAAAACAGGTGGCAGGCAGGATTTTGGCCATGGGCCACAGTTTGCCATGATTTTGTTGCGACTACCTAACCACCTCATCTAATGCGTGAATTTGATGAGTTAAATTCAATTATCAGTTTCTTTTTGAAATGAGATATATGACTACAGAAGAATGATCAGAGTTATACAATGTATCTGGCTTTAAAGATGGAGGGAGGAGTGTAGTGGAAATGGCCTTGAGAAGCTAAAAAACAGAGGGACATGAAATCTTGTCCAGAGCCTCCACGAAGAACAGAGCCTTAATGCCACCTTGGTTTTAGCTCATTGAGACCCATATTGGACTTCTAATCTACTAAATTACACAATAACAAATTTATATCGTTTATGCCATCTCTTGCGGTAATTTACTACAATAGCAATAAAAATGAATACAATCAACAACAGAGTTCTCTTCAATATTAAAGAGAGGTGAGAAAATTTGTCTTTCCGTATTTTCTCTCTTTTTCTCTCTGTATATGCATGTATACACACACGCACACACACACTGATATAAACACATCTGTGCTTTACATTTATTCTACAAGAGTGTTTAAAACTGACGGTCTACTAAAGAAGACTGACCAAATTCCAGGCAGGGTACTTGCTTGAAAAGCACTAAAAATAAAGCATTCAAACTTGTCCCAGGGCTTGGTTTCCAGAGTCTTCCCAGCCTTCCCTAACCCTGTTCTATGGGGATCTTATCTATCCCCATAGCGGACTCTAACTCTGTTGATTGAGACTCTTTTGAGGCTTTGTGCTTATTCTTCCAAGGATAGATTCTAGTGTTGCTGGTTTTTTGTTTTTGTTTTGCCCTGCAAGGTTCTGATAGTTTGAGGCACACACAACCTAGCCAAGATGTACATCTTAGAGCCCAATTTACATGCATGCTATCTATTTATCTCTCTAAAATTGAGTGTGAATTTTCTTCTGATTTTTGTGAGAGAAAAATGCCCATTAAATTGGTGTTCTAATTCTAAAAAGATTTATGAAAAGAAGTAATACTCCAAGTGGCAATTAGGGTCTTCAGTCCATTCAAAGAGGATCACAACTCTTATTCCTTCTTTAGAGTTCTTCACCTCTTCATTTTCTTCTTCATTCCTTTTGATCTCCTATTTTTAGACTCCATCTCTTTGCACTTTTAAATCCATGAAACCCTTTTCAAAAGCACTGTGGCAATTCATTAGGAAAGCCATAAAATTATTCGTATGCTTTGATCCAGAGATTGAACTCCTGGAAGATAATTTAAGAGAAATTAGATGCCAAATGTGCCCAGATATTCCATATGGCATTAAACATAATTTAAAAACTAGATAAAACATATAGAATTGTTGAATCACTATATTGTGCACCTGAAACCAATGTAATGCTGTGCATTCACACTGGAATTAAAATTTTTTAGTTAAAAAAAAACTAGATAAAACCTAAACATCCTATAGCAAGTAATTGGCAAGTTATAGCACATCTACATAATTGAATAACAAACAACAATGATATATATAGTTATGAACAGGAACTGGATTCAGATCCTAGCTAAATTACCTAAGCTACTGAACTGACATGTAGACTTAGGCAAAGTATGTCTCCTGTTTAAGCAGTCGTCTTCTCATCTGAAAAAACAACTAATACTTCTTCCCATATTGACATGAGGAGTAAATGAGTTCACATAGTATGAAGTACTCAGCACAGTTCTTGGGACATCAGAACTGCTCACTGGACTGTAACATCTTTGTTATTTATTTTTAAATAAGAAATTAGAAATCACTATGATCATGATTATAAAGCACACAGGAATTGGTGCATTAACGTGAAGTTATAAGAATAATTTCTTACCTTGCTATTAAGAACTTATGAAACAATTAGATAAACACAGGCTATCTAGAGTTTTAATAAGGCTTATATTTTAAAGAAATATCAAATAATTCCCATTTGCTCTTAAATAGCTGGATGATTTGGAAGCCCTTAAAACCTCTAGTAGTTGCCATAGGCAATTTTATATTCATGATATTGTACAAACTAGCAAGCACTTTTGAAGATAATAAGCAGCACAAATTAAAAAAAAAAAAAAAAACCTCTTTTTACTTACATTTCAGCAGCTTTCAGGAGAGTGGAACTTTGTTCTACCAACCAACATGCTCTCCAAAATAGCACTGGCTAACAATAGGAGGCCCCAATGAGGCCCTTTTTATGATGACAAAGAAAAGCTCTCCTACAAATCAAAGCCCATATAAACAAGGAAAAGCCTATTTAAAAACATCCACAATCAATGCCATTGTCAGCCTGCTAGAAACACTGGTTAAAATGACTGGTACCCATCACATACTTATTTCTACAGATGGAGAATTATATATTTGACTTGTTGGAAAGGTTGGTTACTAAAAATACTTGATTTTAAAATAAAACACAGAAGGAGGAACAAAAAGAATGGCAGCTGCTTATTTCTTTCTCTGTAACAAAATGTGACTTGTAATGTAGCAGTGGAAAAGGAGCAGAGCCAAAAATGAGTCAATTTATAAAAGCCCCACTCTAAAACAATGCCATGGAAAATAGTGTTGGTTTTAATTAAAATGCCAGGTATCTTCATATATCAGATAATTTGGATACCTTATTGAGAAAAATTGTTGAGAATCAATGTGGTGATGGTCTTATTACAGATGTTGCTGCTACACAAGCAAATACTTTGAGCCTCTAGAGAAACAACACAATATTCTATGTTGAAATGCAGTGATAAAGGAGGGAATTGTCTTGTGATAAGGAAAGAATGACTTTCTACAGATCACTGTCAGGTACGGTGAAAACTCCTGGGATGGATTTCTATTCAAGGTGCTTTGTAAAAATGATTAAAAAATATCTCCTGAACTAAAATTTTGCCTCCACATCAAACCTAGCCAAGTAACTGCTGTGTGTGTTGAGTTTAGACTAAGGGCAAACCATATTCACGGCTACTGCTTCTTCAGAATCTTCTGTAGACCATTATCCAAATGTCTTTCCCCACTTTTTCTTCTCAGTTTTACAGGTTCCAATTTCCAGCTAAATTGAATCCAGTCCTCAGATGCCATTGTTAATTTATTTTAAATCTTTTTTTTTTCTGGTTATGCATCAAGTTGAGTATAGAATTCCTTGTATTTGCCTTCCAGTCCCACAGACCCTCACTGTCTAAATAAGTATGCTGTTCCTCATCCCATGCCTGACTTCCCTACTAAGCATGTGCAATTAGACACTCTAGTAAATAAGTTTGACTACTAATGAGAGTTAGAAGATCATATTACTCTATTTAACTGAGTTTATTAACTGTTAGTAATTTCTGAGAGTCAAAGACATTACTTCAGCAATAATTGTGAATTTCTATTTATTCTAGATGAGTTTTAGCTAAGATCATTTGACCAATATGTATAATAGGCTGATTCTTGCTCTTCTTTGAAATCTAAATGAGGACTAAGTGAAATGTAATCATTTAAAGTTATGTGGTCTTGACCCTAGTCAGTCTTTTCTAGATAAATGCATTTTTAAGAGCTCAAATTTTTCAGTACACTCATTTTTAAATGCATTCATAAACAATCTGAACACAGTGGCTCAAAGTTTAACAGGAATTGTAGAATATTTTAGTTGAAAGTTACCATACAGGTCAGTAGGTCTCCTTTTAAATACTTTCCCAGAGATGTAGAGGTTCAATGCCAGACCCACACAGTTTTCTGGGAGCCCAGATGAGACAAGTCTACTTTTAAAGCTTGGCATCAAAAGACGGTGGAAAGACAGTGTTCAGAGACAAGGTGGGAAAGACAAATCAAGTAGTAAATCTAAATTCTTATTGAAAATGCTGGGCAGACAAATGCAAAGTAGGAATAAGAGAAATGAAGAGATGGAGGATACCAGGGCAGTACAAATGAGTTTGGGTATCCAGTGAGAGTGGAAATTGGAATCTGGTGAAATATCCTGGAATACTGTGGAATAATCACAGGGACTTTCTGTAGGACACGCTTGGCCTTGTTTCTAAATGGGGAGTTGTTAAAAGTCCTAAGGTGATTTAAATATCTCTATAGACTTAATAAATTATCTTTGCAGAATTCAACTTGAATTAGCCATCCAACCTATGTGTGAAGAATTATAGTGGCAACCACTTATGGTTTTCTAAGGATTCCCCTTTTGATTTTAGAAAGCTCTAAGTTTTAACAAGTTTTCCTTTTATTGGACCAAAATGGTCCACTATAACTTCCAATAACTGGTCCTTGTCTTTCATGCTATACATAGCTATAGAAATGTAATATCTATTGTGCTACTTTTAGAATTTCAATGGGAACCAGAAATTCAAGGAGAAGGATTATCTGCATATCCCAACGTAAGGTCTTAATAGCCAAGAGAAACAGAAATGTGATTTTGCTAGAACTGCAAGCAGGCAATTCACATAATTATTCCAAATGTCAAATGTTTCATAGCATTTTAAGCATTCTCTAATAAAATTCATTTTAGAAGACTGAAAAAAGAGCTTTTAATAGGATTATTACCATTATCAACATATTTAATGAGTGCATCCTGAGACAAGTACTTAGCTAGATTTAATGTAGGGCTGGGGCCTTTATTTTCAGTGACCTTCAAACACATAGTCAGAACTCTGGGGTCACCTGGGTGGCTCGGTGGTTGAGCATCTGTCTTTGGCTCAGGGCGTGATCCCAGGATACAGGATGGAGTCTCGCATCGGGCTCCCTGCATGGAGCCTGCTTCTCCCTCTGCCTGTTTCTCTGCCTCTCTCTCTGTGTCTCTCATAAATAAATAAAATCTGTAATTTAAAAAGTTAAAAAAAAAGAACTCTGGCAGGAAAGAACTGATGGTTGTTGTCTGTTTGAAGTCCCTAACACATTTTGTAGCAAGGATGTAAAATATATGGGAAAGTCATGCTTTCTGAGGAGAATAAAAATGTACATCTCAAGCTCAAAGGAGTCAGTGTAAATTTGTTATTATTTTATTGAAATAAAAGAACGGGGACAATAAAAAAGAAACATTTCATTAAACAATCAGGAGAAAAGACCAAAATTACTCCCACATTTTATGAGAGCACTTTCATTGAGATAAAAGTTGCAGTTACTCATTACTAAATGGCATCCTTTTCTTAGAAATAGGGGTTTGAGGAAAGCTATCAAAGGAATGATCAAATGGCAGTGAGGCAAGCACAGGTGTGGTCTACCTGCATTAGAAGAGGGGTACCTTTTGTACTAGCTGATGATCCTGATAATAGTCTTCATAAACAAAAATGCCAGGAACGGCTCTTGGGGACATCTGAGGACTTAAACATCATTTGAGTTAAAATGAGGTCAACCTTGTTGGCTCTACTCTATCACCCAAGCCTTTTATAGATGGGTCTGATACAACAAGCTGTGGTAATCCTCCTTTTCCATGAGGAGTGGCTGCTTTTCTTCAGGGAGCTGCTTTCTATTGCGCCGACAGAATAGGCTGGTGAGCCCTCCTAGCACAGCAGTGACGACACAGCCTACCACAGCAGCCCCAATGAGCCATGGCCAGATCCGACTTGCTTGTTCTAAGTAGGGCTTAATGTAATCTTGAAAAATGTCCCGTTCTGAAACAGAGAGACGTCCCAATGTTTTTAGTATTGTCATCATTAGCATCATCATCATCATCATCAACATAATTATTAACATCATCATCATTATCCTTGCATAGTAGCATGGAGTCAGAGGCCTGGGTTTGAATGCCAGCTCTGCTGCTTAGTAGCTGTAAGAGCTCAGAAAAGTCACACCTAATACTCCTAAGCCTTAGTTTCTTCATCAGGAAGAGAGGAACATACTACCACCTCATTGGAATGTTTTAAAATTGATTAATAACACCTGATCTGTAAAATATGCAGTGCCTAAAACTAGGTCAACTATTGTAACTTTTAGCTTTTTAATATTTGCTTCCACATTTCTAAATAATAGACAAATATTGCCTTCTTTTAATTCATCAAGTTTATATCTGGAGTTCTTCATATAGAAATAATAATTTTTGTTCTCTGACAACTCCCATTTTATTTCCTCAGTCATTTTGGTATAATGACATCACGATTTGGGGTCAAATCCATATCTAGGATTTTCATTAGTTTTAGTATATAAATACAGTGGAAACAAATATTGTTATGATTATATGTCCTTATATTATTTTTCCCTGGGAATTAACTAATATCCTTTTGTTTGATTTAAAAATACCCATCACTACTTAAAAGATACTCCAAGATATTCCATATTTATTTTGTTATCAAAGAAAACAAAAGAGTGCATCTTGGACTTCTGCAGAAAATTATGTCTATGTAACTCAAGTCTTGAGCAAAAGTGATATATGTAACTTTGGGACAATTTCCTTAAAAATAAGAAGCTATGTCTCTCCTTTTTCCATTTTTCTTTCTTGCTTAGCAGGAATGCAGATAACGTGTTGATGAGCCATCATGGACCATGTAGTCCAGATTAAACCCTAGATCTTGTGGAACCACCAGAAAGAAGCAGCTCTGAAATTATGGAGCTGAAATTCAACAATATACCAAGACTTCTACTTGAGCAACAAATCAAGTAATTTATTTAAGCCATAGGTATTTGAATCTGTATCTGTTCTCTATCCCTACCTTCCTGCCTTTGCTGATGCAGGAACTGTAACGTTCTTTTATAAACTCTTTCCTTGGCTATAGTTAATCAGTACATGGTAGACCACTGACTCAAGAAGGGCCAATCAGAATCATTACTCAGAATTCACAGTGCTAGAGCTCTCAGGTGGCTTGGGAGCTGACAACAGCCTTACTTCTCAACCTGTGGAAAACAGGATGAATGTACTCCAAGAAATAGAGATGAGAGCTAGAGAATGAGTGAGAGACAGAGAGAGAAACACAGAGAGAGAGTGTGTGTGTGTCTTTAGGGCTTTAATTCTCTGGTTCCTGCTATTCCTCAGTCTCAGCTGCATTTCTGCCTTTCCCAGAGTTCATCCCTTCCTTGGATTTTTTTTAAACCAATAAATTCTCTTTTTTATATAATCTCATTCCCATAGAATTTCTGGCATTTGCATTTTTGAAAGTCCTAATTATATCAAAAAGGTAATTATGTGCTCACCACAATAAAGGAGAAATTACCTTAGGAAATTCTGGACTTGCAATATATGTAAACTCTATATATAATAAAAATGAGATCCACAAATCAATGAGAGAAGGAATATTTATTTAATAACATATCTTGGAAAGCATGAGTAGCAACATGAAATAAAACTTAAAAGGAAAATCTCAATGTTGATCTCATAAATTCAATAACATTCAGAACAATTAAAGCAGAAATGTTCTTTTTTAAATCAAAATTTGTTACAAACTGATTTCATAGTACTAAAGCCTGATATTCATTCAGAGGAGATAAAAGTGGAGTTTCCGTGGCTTACATGGGTCTATAGAGCTGAAACCTGGTCCATTTTTCCTGTTCCATTTTCTTCTTTTGTGTTTGATACGATCTTTTTGCCAGCTGCCACTAAGTTACCTCTAAAATTCCTAGAGCTCATTAAGCATAATTTGAACAGTATTACAATTTAGAGTTCCTCTTCATCAGGAAGGAATACAAGTTGCAAAGGATAAACATTACCAAATAAATTATAAAAATGATTTATAACTTTGATATTTATATCTAAACAATGAAAGCCAAAATGCTAAAATTAAAAAGAAATACCAAAAAGTTATGGTTTTCAACATATTTAAAATTACTTTGAAAAAGGGACTACAAATGCCTGCCTTATTTTGCCAGTAGTCACCTCACTATATAAAGTACATTTAAAATGTCTACCAGAGCATAGAGAGATTACATAAAAAATATTTCCTCTATTTCTGGCTCAGCTTAAACCCAAGTCACAATTTCAAAATGCTATTTCTTTGTCCAGCTGTCCAGCTTCTCTTATAATTTCTCTACTTCAGTTCACTCCAAATGGTCTCAGTTTTTACTGTCATCAATAGTTTTCTTTGAAACACTTTGTATCTCTCATTGACTCCAAACTAAATAAGACTTCCATTCTCAGCTCTCTGCTTTTCCAAACAGCGCACCTTTAAATTATTTCTTAATGTCATAGTTTTTCTATTTTTACCTATTTAAAGTTCCATATTTCATGTCCCCTTTTCTCTTCAGAATAGTAATATAGTCTTCTATTTATTTTTCACTCTATATATTCAAATCACATGCTCATTTGCTCACACAACAAATGTATGATTTAGTTGGGGACCATTATCCAAATTTAATGAATTAGGAATCTGTAACTTAGATTGTTTGCCTGTAGTATTTAAATGAGATAATCCATATATAGCCAGTGGTACAATGCCTAGAACATAGAAAGCAATTTATAACTGTTATTGATTCTTGTTATTCCATAATAATTTCAACAATATTTCAATTGAACCAATTTCCAATAAGAGTTTTCTCTCTTGAACTTGCTTTGATTATTGATTCAGGTCAGCTTTCTTTTGTATTCTCAGACTCTTTCTTTCTTTGCTCCCTTATGACACTTGACACAATTGTCTATGTGTTAATAATTATTCATATGTATGTATTTTCAGGCTTGATCATAAATTCTTGACAGCAAGTATTATATCTTAATTGTTTTATCTTTCATTCTTCTATTCATTCATTCATTCATTCATTCATTCATTCATTCTGCAAATGTTCCCTGAGACACATTACATGCCAGGTGGTGGTCCTGGCATTGTAAGTAAAAAAATAAATAAGCAAAGCCCTGGCCTGAAGGCAACAATAATTGGAAAATAAATAAGCAGAGGCCCTGGCCTGAAGGCAACAATAATTGGAAATAATTACATTCAAGAGTAATGTTATAGTGATGAAAGTATGCAAAAGATACAATGGAATCATGGTGGAATGACCTCTTATATCTGTTTGGGGAATCAAGGAAAGCCTCCCAGAAGATTATGGAGTTTGAATTAGAATTGAGAATATGTTGATGGCAAGCCATCCCAGGCAAAAGGCACAGCATGCACCTATGGATATAAGTAGGAAAGCATAACTATTGAACAAATCTGTGAAGGACAGAAGCCCATCATCAAATCCCATCTGCAGAATGAGACACTCTGGTTACCATGATCATGTCTCCTCCTCTCACTTTTAACATCAAAAGTCAAGGTCTTTTAAAATATATTGGGTTTAGGAGGCTCTCAACAGAGCAGTAAAATACAGAAAGAAGGGTCACATTTACCAAAAGCATTGAGGGCACAACCTTTCATTGCTAAAGATTTTTGGTCTCGTCTTTTAATCAACTATGCATGCAACAAAATCACCTGCTGCTCAATTTTTAAAAGCATCACTAAATTCGATTATAAGGGAAAATGTTTGACAAATGCCAGGCATCAGCTGCCTTTTACAGAAAACACTTAAGTAATTATAAACATGAGTACCTGAATGATGAATAATAAACTGCTTGAGAACTAAATTATATCAAAAAGTTTTTAAGGATTTATTTTAGTGGGCCTAAAGTTTAGCAATAAATAGGAATACATTTTAAATTCCTTGAATGTGCATCAGAAGCAGTAGAATAATTCATAAAAGGAAAAAAGGTGATTACTATTGTTGATTTGAAAGTCAACCGTCTCTAAAATTAATGGTATAGATTCACAGCTCTTGTCTTTCTAGGCTATGAAAAATACCTTAAATAAAGCATTTCAAATCAATTTTATTTTTTTAAATATTTAACTAGAAATAAGTAATAAATACCTAAAGTCCCTAATGGGCTTCTTTGAGCCTCCAGTCCCATACCTAAAGTCCCTAATGGGCTTCTTTGAGCCTCCAGTCCCACCTCTCCTCTGATGGTTTTTGTTGCCTTTGCAGTAAAAAGTACCCATTTGATTGTGGTACTTTTGGAACATAGTGGACTATGGAACATATAGGGACTAAAGAGAGCCCTCTCTACTGTGGAGTAAACGGGGAGAAAATTAGTTTGGAATCACTATTGGCCACTTAGTACTCTGTGACTTAGAATGAGTCACTTTACTTTTATGATTTCAATTTACCTATAAAACAAAATAAAAACCACTACCACATAAAATTGTGAAGATTAGCAGAGGTAACAATGTATATGCTGAGGTCTATAATTTATATCTTGTTAGTATCTGCAGGCCAGAATGTCTTCCCAGTTTCAAGGCCATCCACCTGCCCCAGAGATGTATTTGCCCTGATATCTCCTATCCCCCCATTTCACTGCATAGGCAGTACGAGCATGAGATTCTCTCCATGTCTGGCCTTGCTCCTACTTGTCACTATCTCGGTGAGAGTGTCACCATTCATCATTTTCACAGGCGTCCCCAATATCTCCTTTATTCTTACCTTGTATATGAATAATTTTCCAAGTTCTGTACATTTTATATAAATTAAAGATACTATCAAATTATTTCATGCCTCTGCCCTCTCCAGACCACCACTACTGCAATCCACACTGTCTTCACCTCTCTCCTGGACATCTGTAATAGCATCTTTACCACCTTCCCCGAAGGTGCTTTACAACAGCTATAGAATTTCCAACATGCTGCAGCAATAGGAAGGTTTCAAAAACTCAAAACAAACCACTTAAAATTTATCAATAGCTTCTGTTATTTTAACAATATGGTCCAAATCCATAACTAAGGCCCCCTTCAACTAATCACTTCTTCCTGTCATACTGCTATCCTCTGAAATATCACTTCACTGACCCTAAGGTAGGTAGGTCTCTAAATAAATAAGTCCTTAGGTAAGTTGTTGTTTAAGATCTTTATCTTCCATTACAATGTAAACTCTATGAAGATAAACTATGTTGTTTACTGCTGCATGCGTTGTATCCAAGACAATGCTGTATTCAAAGTAGTTATTAAATACATATATATAGAAAGAATAAATAAATCAATAAAACCACCTAGAAAATAAAATACCTAGTGTGATACAAAACTTGAAATATGTTAAAAAACACATATCTGAAAATGACTTAGCTATTAAATGGGGTGACATTTTTCTAGCAAGCTTTTCTTATATTGGTTAAGGGATACCATTCTTCACGATCAATATCACTTGTACTCAAATTGATTCATTGATATCACCACAATGATACTGGATGTCATCTGATACTTACTAGAGAATCTTGCAAAATGTCAATTCTAATCTTGTCAGACTCATAGTCAAGATGGACAGGAGAAAGATTCATACATAAAAAATTACCACATAATTCTAATAAGAGTGATTAAATATGACTATACACACACACACACACACACACACACATATATATATATGTATAAAGTGATTTACTATCTAAGAGTTTGACAAATGGATAAACAGGATCGGAATTTAGCCAGAGGGAACAGCGTGTTTAAAAGCATGAGCCCATGAAAGTGTCTAACATGTTTTGGAAGTGGAAACCATGAAGTCTTAAGTGGTGAATCTTTGAAAAGCCACTACCAATATGTTCCTTCACTCCCTTTCAGAAAGGAAAACATTTTACCTGAGACTGCCACTTTTTAGACTCCCCTTACCACATCTCTGCCCTTTGCAAAATTTCCTGTTCTCAGTGATCTCAGGGTTTAAAAAAAAATGATTTCCAGTCATTTTAATATTCCTTCCACTGGTTATGATTCTCAGATAAACAAAACAGGTTAATCAAGCCCATATTTTTTAGCTAATAGTCCCCCAAAGGGAAGGTAAAAGTTGATGAAATACGGCTTCTCCTATTGGCCCTAAACTGTGGTTCTGCTGTGCCACATACTAGATAGATGGCCTGGGACAAATTATGTATTTCTTTAAGCCTCTGTTTTCTCACCTAAAAAAAGGATAAAGGAAACAATAGTACCTCATTCATATAATAGTTATGAAAATTAAAGGACATAATGCACACAGAGCACCTAGAAGAACTCTAGTTACATTAAAAAATGCTCAATATGTGTTAATCATGAAGAGACTTCATTTCTCTGAGGGAAATTTTCCATTGCTTATACTACTCAAATAGGAAAATTTAGCATTGAATTTCCACCTCTATTTTTCTTGTTACTGTCTTCATTTAGAATATTCTCTGCCCTTCTCTCTGTGCTACCTGCCTGCTCATCCTTCAAGGTCTTGTCTTTCTAGGCTGAATTATTCAGAAGTCATCACTTTCTCCCCCGTTCTCCTGTTGGATTTTGTTTATGACTCTTTTGCTGCCTTTAAATGACCTGATGTCTTGTACTTTCTTGTATAATTGTCTAACTTTCACACTGAACTTGGAACTACTTGAGGTTTGGAACTATGTCAGTCATTTATATCGTTAAAATCTAACACACAAAGGGTAGGAAGTTGGTAAGTGTCATTAATTTGTTGATGAATCATAATTTTTATGAATTATCAATGAATATAATTAAACATCAATGCTTATTGAATACCACTTACCTACAAGCCATATGTTGTTCTACTGTTTTTGGTTGTTGACCCTCTTGAGTTAGAATAGTAGCTGTAGTGAAATGAAGAGAGGGCCTTATAGTATTGAAATCTGGCTCCTGTATGTATTGGTGTCTGATATTGGGGAAGTCACTTAAATTCTCATGGTATCAATGTCTTCACCTATTTGTAGAGATAATAATCCTTACCTAATATACACTTGATTAATAACACAGATACAAGATCTGCATATAGCAGGCTCTTGGGTGGAGGAAGATATTGCTAACTCTTTCTCACTTATTAAGAAGATATTGACACATTCCTATTCAGGAAGATTATTTAAATTTTTTAAAATTTATTTATGATAGTCACAGAGAGAGAGAGAGGCAGAGAGAGAAGCAGGCTCCATGCACCGGGAGCCCGACGTGGGATTCGATCCCGGGTCTCCAGGATCGCGCCCTGGGCCAAAGGTAGGTGCTAAACCGCTGCACCACCCAGGGATCCCTATTCAGGAAGATTATTTAAAACCCAGATATAATTATAATCTTAGAGTTTTATATTATTACCTTAAATATCATTAATTATCATTATAATAGTTCATTCTTTCTTCCTTTACCTCTTCTTCTTATTTATTATTATTATTATTAATTGGGCTTAAAATAAAAATATCCACAAATTATCTTGGTAACCCTACGAGAAAGTTCCCAAAGATTACTCTAAACCTGCTGGATGTTTATCTTCTACCACACCACACTGAACTCTTCAATGCATCATAGTAATTTGATTATCACAATATCTTTTGTGGTATTTCAATAAGAATATTTCAGGTTAAAAAAATGAGATTCATGGAACTAAACAAAATTTCCATGATCTCTTCACAGTCACCTGAAAGAGTCATATCTTAAGCCCATTTTTTCTTTCTGATTTTAATTCTAGTGTTCCACAGTTGCTGTATACAAAATACCCTATGCTAAGCAGAATGAATGTGAATTTAAAGATCTTTGCAAGTTAATTCATGTAATAAAAAATAAGTGATAAATTGTAGGTTGTAATGTGCTTTCCCAATTTAAAGGCTTTGGGGATAACATTATAAATAATGTAAGGTTAGGAACTCTCTCAAAAAAAATTGGTCACACTAGATTCACTAATTCATATGAAATAAATTAAATTTTACCTGATTCTTGTAGGTTGCTATAGTCATAGCCCAGATCTCTGGATGAAATAAAGAAATCACCATTTCTGTACAGAGGTATAAAAGGAACCATGTAGGATTCCCGGTTGTGTCCAATAGGAGCATTGGCTTCTGGATAAACTTCTTGAAGAGGATGGTGCCTTCGGAGCCACTGCTCAAAAATACTGCGGAGGGAAGGATTATTCAGGCTTAGGAACATGTTGCTTATAAAAACTTAGAATTCTTAAAGTAAAATAAGAAGGCATATCTAAAATCCCAATGGATGGAAAGATGCCAAATATATTTTCATGCTTTGAAAATATTTTGTAAAGCACTAGTTCATACTGTCAGACCTTGATAAAGCTCACTCATTTGAAAGAAATATGAGAGGATTACTTTGGAAAGAGAATTTCTTAGGTAAGTGAACCTTATGTGACAAGTTCAGACCTTTCAGAAAGCTGCAGAGGAAGGGTAATTATTGGTTGAGTGACAACTGGGTCAGAATTGTAAATTAAATATGTTTCTTGTCTCAAAGAAAGTTAGCCCAAAGAAAGAACACATAAAACTAGGTTGGAATCAGTACTGGCATTTGGTCATTTTTTTGGGTCATGGTAGGAGACTTTCAATTATTTCAACCATCTTGCTATGTTTAGTGAAGTGTATGCTTAATGAAACTTGGGGAGAGAAAGAGTTTACCTCCCATAACAGAGACTAAAAATACTTGGACTGGTTTCCCAACTTTCCCTGAAGCTAGAGTATTACCATATGATTAATACTCAGACAATCAGATAGACCTGTGAAGACTCTGAAACAGAAGACAGTGACACACACAAGCAAGGATGACAGAAAACTATTTTGGTTGTGGGCAAAGACAGTTGTGATAACAATATCCAATTTTTAGGGATTGCAATACCAGGATTACCACCAGCAAGGGAATATCTGGTGTTCTATAGCATGGTTTTAGCAGATCTCATGGTTGCTACCCCCCTCCTCCCTTGTTCCCACCTATTTCTAAACCTGCTTCTCTATTATTTCCTGAGCTATCCAATATCTTCTTGGTAAATTCTTTTTCTGTAAATTAGCCAGAATAAGTCTCTGTTGCATGCAATTAAAAATTCTGACTGAAACAAAAGCTAAACAGTTAAGGGATCAAAAAAATTGAATAAAAATACGTAAGTTATAGAAGAATTTATAGTGTGTCACCAAAATGTGGAGAAGAATGTGACTGTATCATCAGTCCATATAACAGAGGAAAGAACATAAGATCTGAGATCACAGAACTCCCCTGAGGCCTAGCTCTGTGCTTTAAAAGCTGTATGACTCTACACAAATCACTGAAATTCTTGGAGACCTAGCCTCCTATCCTGAAATGAAAGCAAAAGCAATAATATCTGCCCTATTTCCAAAAGGTTTATCATAATATTTGTGAAAGTGCTATCTAAGTAAGCTCTTGTTACTTAGCTACAACATTTATTCCAGGAAATAAAGGTAAGTGCATGATCTCAGGAATATTGCCTACAAAGGAAAGTGATAATGCTTCAAACAAACAAACAAAAATTGAAAAAACATTTTGAAGTACAATCAAGAAGAGATCAGTGGTGCTGGAGGCAGAATGGTGATCATTCTTTCCATGATGAAAAACAGTTCTATTTGCTTAGAGAATCTGGACTTCAAATACTATTTGAACCAAATATTGTGGCTAAAGTTGACTTTTAACTGTGAATTAATTGAGGGATCAGTAGACCACTGATAAATACTGAAAATCTGGTCCATAAATACCAAATCCTCTCTAAATAGCTCAATTATTCAACCTGTTACTGAGTATTTATTATATGTCAAGTTTTGGAGAAACATGAGCCTGCATAAAAACCTGAGTTCCATGGGTTGTGACAAGGGAAATTTGTAAAATTTCTTAACCGGTTTGATTTACCTTTTCTTACCTGTGAAATGGGAATAATATTTATGTATTAATTAGTATAACATAAGTAAGATGTATATTTAAGTGCTTGACAAATGGTAAATGGAAATAATCATTATTCCCATCCCCTTCTTCCTCTTTTCCCTCCTCCTCACTATTAATGTTATTCTGGAAGAATGTTATAATTGGTGAGAGAGATGAAACATAGTGTTTTAGAAATGCCAAAGTCATGTATACATAAGTTATTGAGCTAAATCTTTTTTTTAATTAGAAAAACATTTTATTTTTTTAGAGGGAGAGCACAAGTGGTAGGTGGGGGGTGGGTGGAGGAACAGAGGTAGAGAGAGAGAGAGAGAGAGAGAGAGAGAATCTTAAGCAAACTCCACACCCAGTGGAGAAGCCAGAGTGGGGCTCAATCTCACAACTCTGAGATCATGACCTGAGCTGAAGTCAGGAGTCATATGCTTAACCAACTGAGCCACCCAGCTGCTCTTTGAGCTGGATCTTTTTAAGAAGGATTATGATTCTGACCAGTGGGAATGAGAAAGAAGATTCAAAAAGATTGTTTTTTCTGTGTGTGCCTTCTCAACTACAGAAATTAGGAACTGGCCTAACAAGCCCCAAATTCTATTCAAGTCCTAACATTTTATTAATTAGGTTTTTTTCTGCAGTTTTCTTCTCTTCATAAAAGCAAAGCATTCCTTGTTCATTATATGCAATTCAGAAAATATAAATGAGCAAAAATAAGAGAAGAAAAAATTCATATAATCGTTTCATATTTCTGTTATATCTAGTTTATAAAACATGCATAGTAACACTACATATATTTTAACAAAAAAGAGAATTGTATTATAATGTTTTAAGCCTCCAGCTCTAGCATTTTATTTGTAGTATGCAATATTTAATGTTTAAACAATATTTAAACATGTTTAAACAATATTTAAACACGTTTAAACAATGTTTACCAGCTTTTAAACTGGCAACTCTATTTTTTTAATGAGAAGGAGGCTCTCTGACATAATTAATCTCTCCCTCACCCCTATTAAACTTTGATTTAGAAACAGCCCACTATACAATGAGCTACCAGATAAGGGCTTGAGGCAAAAATTGTACTTTTTGTCAATTAAGAAAAATTACTACTGTAGTTCAGCTTATAAATAATCTCTCTGCCTGCCAAGAAACAAAAATTCTTTACCTAGGTAAGACAAGAACATCAATTCTTAGCACCAAAAGATTTAATGGATAAAACCATTAATGTGCTCACCTACCTTATCAACCTTTTAAAAGAAAGGTATTAATCTTGATTAAATTCTTCATTGGTGGTTCTCATATTTAATTTCATCAAACCATATCTAAAATGACTCACATTGAAATACTGATTCTTAACTCAGATAATCACACTGACATATTGGGAAGAACTTATCTTCTTACCAAAGATTTATAGAAACTGTATCTAGGCAGTTTTCTGGAATTAGGAAAACATAACAATGATCACAGATGCAAATGGGAAGGAATGTGTTTTAAATATAAAAGTAACTCAAGACACCTGGTTTCAAGTCTGATATGTAAGAACCCTGGACACTCCATCATTACAGCAAGAAAAGGCTAGACAAATGGAAAATCAACAACTTTTCTTGGGCCACAAAAGAATGAGGTCACAGGGCAAACAGTCACCCCTCAAACTGCAGAGATAAGTGTGTCCAGGGGAAGACAGCTCAGACATACTTGCCAAGAACAGAAGCAGCTGTATCTGTAAACTGGTAGGGAGACTTTAATATTTTGATGAATGATTGGGATATGGACTAACAGTGGTAAGTGAGAAACTCCTGGGAGCCACAGCATTAGGAGGACTCTGCACATTTGGGGGGTTTAATTCCAGGAGCTTGACCAGGTTTTCATGATGAAGACTGGAGAAAGAGCCTCTCCTGGCTCTGTGAGGGGGAGAGAGAGAGGTATCATTTTGAAATAAGTCCCCAGCCTTCTCCATGACAAACTTCTTTAATTCAGAGGAAATGACTTCCAGAGCCTCATCCCAGCTAGGGGGAGAGGATTCCAGCTTTTCCATCTCACTTAAAGGGAAAATAAAACATAGGACACATTGGTAAGGGCTTCAAGGAAAGAAATAGGGAATGCTATAACCAAAAAAGTAGGGGGCAGAGGAAAGTAAAATCTATGCCGTTGGAGAAATGCTCGTGAGGTTCACAGCCCCAAGCATTGGCCAAATAAAAGACTGAAATTTAATTAGAATATTTTCTAATATCCCTCCACACCTTAATACTTTACCATGATATCCACAGAGTTCCAGTATGATGACAGGGATTATAGCTAAAAGAGCTATAAGACAGACAGTATCTGAGGACTAGTATACAGGATAGCCCAAAGCCAAGAGAGAAGACTAAAACAAAGACCGAGGGAGATTTGAAGCCTCCAGCACCTACAGCTACAAAAATCATTAAACAAGGTCCAGCTTCTTGCAAGATTAACATAAATCCTTATATTCAAGTCCTATCTGCCTTCATTTCTACCACTCAATAAAATATATCTGACTCAACAACAAATTACGAGGCATGCCAAAAAGCAAGAAAATGACAGCCTGAAGAGACAAAGCAATCAAAGTAAATCCCAACTCAGATATGAAATAGATATTGGGATTATCAGACAGAGAGTTTAAATAGTTATGAATAATGTGTTAAGGGCTCTCACAGAAAAAGTAAATGAAATGCAAGAACAGATGGGTAGTGAAGCAGATTGGTGGAAAGACTCTAAGAAAGACTCAAAGAAAATGCTGGAAATCAAAAACACCATAGCAGATTTGATGGGCTCATCAGTAGATGACATAGCTTAGAAAAGAATCAGTGACCTTGGAGATAGAAACATCCTAAACTAGAATGAAGAGGAAAAAAAAAAGAATGGGGAAAAATATCAAGAACTCTGAGATAATTTCAAAAGAGGTAACATATGTGTAATTGGAATAACAGAAGGAGAAGAAAAAGCAAACAAAGCTGAAGAAATAGTCTCCAATAAAAGGAACCAGAGAAGCCCACTGAAATCACTCCCAATGGCCAAAGCTGAAACAATCTGAGCCACAAAGTAAAGTAGTATTAGATTATAATCCAAAGTACAAAATAAATATAGAGGAGTCCACACTGAAATAAATTAATGAATAAATAAATAAATGAGGGAAATACATAAGTCTACCATGCAGAAGAGTTTCAAATAATTACATAGATACTCAAATACATAATGTAGGTGCTATATAACTGCACA